TACTAAATGGCTAAGTCATAAAATCAATTCTACATATATCTGCATGCTGATTAGTTTAATTAATTATTAATTGAAAATCAAAACAAAATATAAAAAAAGCACGAATCAAAGCATTTGTTCCTTTTCTTAGCACCATCTCAATATCAAATTGGACTCAATGATTCTAATCTATTAGAAAACTATATTACATTGTTCTTAGGGATAAATGCTACCTTGTACACATGACATATGTAGGAGTTGTTTACCAGTGCTTATTTCAACAACATGTATGTTATCAATCAACTTTACATAGTCCCTATTAACATAATTAAAAAAATATTTTCCGTTTTTTGTTGTTGAACTATTCTTGAAAAGATAAGGTTGCATACGTCCCTAATTGTGTCTAAATACGGCACTTGATTATTGTTTAAGCTTATAATAAGAAACATACAAAATTTGACAATTTGACCAGATTAGCTCCATATTCTACTAAATGTAAAGTTACCAGAAATGTTCAGTGTTGCTTGTTCTGCATTGGTGAGTGGTGTTATCAGAAAGCTGTTTACAGAAACGGTAGTGGTATGTCCCTCCATTCCAAATTAAAGCCATATGATGTTATGAACTGTACAAGCACTTTTGTTTTGTTATACAAATAGCCTTTTAGAATTTGCAACGTAAGGTTAATAAATTCTCGAAATATTCAGCTCTATAGCTATAAACATACAATTGAGCCGTTTTGCGAGTCACAGTGACTCATTAAAATGATTCTATTTTCGGTTCTGGTCAAATATCTTCTTTAAGGCATAAACGGTGGTAAACAGTGGCGGATCCAGAGACCTATCTGGGGGGNGCGGTCCTGAAGCCCAAAAACCCCCTGGGTCCGCCACTGCTACATGCAAGTACGCGGTATGATATAAACAAGAGAAAATGAACTGCATTATTTGAACTCCTACAAAATTGACTCCCGACTACAAAATTATTTGCTGCAATACATATTTACATAAATTTGTAACAAAATACATGAAAACATATAGAGAGCTCCATGGATCTTTAAGTACATGTACAGGCACTGACGATCAGTTCACGTGCCTTTGCTTGCTGTCTCCCGCCACGCTACCCCCACCTACAATCGTCCACATTAGCTAGGGGGAGACTACCCATCATCGTCCACGGAGTAAGGTGTAGGTTCATAAATTTGGAACAAATTTCTGTTGCTACCTGCAAAGAAATTTGATCAGTTTCAGAAAATTGGTTTGCCCAAGCTTATTTGTTTTAATTCAGATGTTTTCTTTTATTTAAGAATTCCATGGGCAACAAAGGGTAGCTCGTAGAATAATGAGTCATAATATTGAATTCATGTTTACTTAGTTAAATTTCTAGTGATTATATTCATTATTTTTATCTGTAATTTGAAAACAAAGATATTGGGAAATTTATATAAGAAAAAATATATATTAGGATATCGTTTTTTTCTTATATACATTTCCCAATAACTTAATCATTGGCAAACAATAGAAATGCAATTGATTTATCAGGAAAAGATTCATCAAATCTGGCTTTTTGCCCGTAAATTTACATGTCTTGTCATGCCCTTATTTCAGTTTCGATAAATCGAGATGAAGAATCCTAAATGTTGCTCACATGAATAAAAATAAAGAATAAAATAAACCATTGACTATATGAATTAACATTTTAGACGAGAAGATTTTTTTTTATGTCAAATGCATATATAATAGCAAAATGAAATATTTAAGAAACTGTGGCCACTTGTATAAAACATCTCAAAGTTAAGGAACATCTCAAACAATGTATTGTCTATGGGAAATCTTAGACTTGAGGAAATCACAAGAGTTGAGATGTTTTATACAAGTGGGCTCTGGTAACTAAGTTACAAGCAACCTAACCTGTGTCAACTTGTTTTAAAACATTTTTTATCTCAATTTTTTTTTAAAGTTTTCTGAAATTAAGTCACATGCACTTTCATGATAGGAAAAGAAACTGTGTAGCATGTTAAGATGAACAGGTATGATAAAAGCAGCCATGCAGCGTGTTGGGAGGACAGTCGTAAATGTTAGGTAGAGAGACGCAGCAGGAAGCAAAGAAAGCAGTCAAGGTGTATATTCCGTCTTTGCGTATTGCAGAGTTATCTGCTCTTGTGAGCGAGTATTGATTGTTATGTCATTTGTTTGTGAAAGTAACGTCATCAATTTTTGTGAAAACGACGTTATTTTTTCACACAAACCAAAGACGAAAAATCAATACCTACTCACAAGAGAAGATAACTCTGCAATATGCAAAGACGGAATACGTAATGAAGACCAATTAGGACAACAGGTAAATACACACACTGGTAGAGGCCAATGAATGATACGGGTGTTAGTCAATGAATGATTGTATGAATGAATGAGTATGAAATGCTGATAGGAAAATAACACATTTTTATAAATTACATTAATTAAAGTCAAATTACCGGAACACTTGTCATGATAATAAAGCTAACATCACAGATCAACTCCACCAACTTTTTATTGCGTGACGTTTCTCCATTTAGAAGATTGAATACCATGTGTTTCTTGTCAGATTGCAATGACATTTGTTCGCGTCTGTTTTACTGTCGATATCCATGCTTTAACTGGCCTTTCACATAGTTTATGAATAAGCTTACATGCGTAATTCCAAACTTGTTAGAGTGATTGAAAACTGACAACATTTCATCGGATACCTTTTTATTGAATAACTATTATTTATTTCTGTGTTACAAAATTCATATCGGTCATACTATCAATATTGGAAATTAATGCAGTTTGTTTCTTTTACAAAGAAATCTAGTCATATATTGTCATAAATGCATAGCGTATATCCTTATCTAAAGTAACAAAAGTAGATTGATATATGGCAACCAAGGAACAACTATTTACAAGTATATATAGTACATTATATACATTGCAGTTATATACAAAAACTACTCCTACGTACCAGGTAAATGTTTATTTACATCTTTACCAATTGCAAGAGACTGCGTTTTGCCTGAATGAATGCACTGTTCATAATGTATTAATTATTAGTTGGACCAACCAGGAGATGAATTACGCTTTAATATTGTAATTTAATGATTAGTGCGATAACAGTACACAATGCAGTTCGTATAACAATCATCAAGGATTTTCTTTTGTCACCTTATCATTAGACTTAGTGGAGTTTATTGTCCAAACGTCCAAATAACAAATCAATTTTATTTTTTATTTTAATCTTTAATACCAATAATGAGTGACATATTGTAAAAAATGAATATTTTGATGAATATCTTTTTCTTTTCTTTCTACATAAAATATTCCGGATACTAATTGAGCTTGAATAGGCCAATTTAGTCATAAATAGCTGCACACGGATGTCATAAGAAAAACAAATTTCACAACATAATATGATGGTAGTTTTTCCATTGTATATCACCCTTGTTTAAATAATAAAACATTACATAAACTCAACTTGTAATCTGTCTGGTAATCTTGCGTTTTGTAATTTTATTAAAATAAACCATCAATGAGTGTGAGATTTTAAAATTATAACCAATCATCATTGCACATACAAATATACTACAATTTGTTAAAGTTACTATTATGGTGCACCAATATAATACACTTCAACCAAGCATACATGTATGACACCAGCATGTGCTTAGCTGCCCAAACAGAAAACAAAACAAACAAATTCACTGCTGTTGTACCCCTTGTCCCCTACAAAGGCCATGCCCTGGACCCGCTCCAAAATTAACCCACACTGAACAAACGTTAGCCACGTGCATGTCCAGTGATAATGTACATGGTTGGTCAAAGTCTCAGATAACAAAAAATGTTATTATTTAACTAGTTTATATCATGTTAGTAAAACAAAAAGGAAATTTGCACCATTTATATATATATATATATATATATATGTACATAGGACATTAAAGAGAGTTGGAGTTATGAGTGACGGATGTATACTAAACTTAATAGGAAATAATGGGAAGGCATGCTTTGTCATTATCTATAAGCATACACAGTAAGGGTTAGAGAAAGATGTTCTATTAACACAAAATGTCAAGACATCAAAATGGGGAATAGGGAAGGGGAATCTTAAAAAAAGTGTTTTAGTTTCAAGTGCACATTATTGTTCTTCCACATTTTGTCAAAACCAGCTGTAGCAACCCATTCCAAAGCTCTAGGTATAGTCAATACTGACCAAAGCTCTAAGATACAGGCCAACACCAGTAAGTTCATGACCTCCTAAATTGCACAACTGTGAAGTTGATATTAGCATATGTTCCTTACATATACATAGTGTAGTTGATATAGCTACATCATTTTTGTCTGGGTTAATGGAAATGTCTGGGTTATCAGTGTTCACTGAGATGATACTTTTAGATTAATTAAATTCTTCATTTTAAAGAAACTCCTCATATTGTTTATTTCCTATAAAGTTTGATTAACATCTATTTAAATAATCTATAATGGCAAGTGCTTGGTTTTATAAATAAGACGGACATTCCAGTTTTTTATATACACTAGAGAGTACAGTTGGGGAAATTTCCTTGCAAATGGGGTAATTAATAATTACCCTTTTTCTGATGAAATTTCCCCAAGGACAGTTTATTTCCCCATTTTTAGTTTAATTTTTATCATTAATAATTACAATGATCAGTGTTTTAGTTGCTAATTTAATATTAATATATGTCAAAATCTAGGCTACAATAATTATAAATATATACCCATCTGTCTCGAGTACAGAATCCAGAAAATGTTCTCATGTGATGGCCATGATTAAATTAGATCTTAACCCATTCACCCCTAAAGTCACATTTGTACCTTACCAAATCAAAGACAGGAAAAGTTCAGTTTAAATATGTAGGGATGAATGAGTTAAAAAGATAAAATACACGAATTTATTTCTCGGAGTTTCTTTTATATATTTCCTTAGAGTATATGAGCGTACCACATCAAATTGGTCCCCTTGATATTTTGGATATATATAAATTACCTGCGAATTCTAGGAAAAAAATATTTGATCTTCATTTTCATCAATGTTTCAGAATATGTAAACTCTTATTTAATTGTTATTTTAAATTTTTAATTACACTGAGATTATCAAACCAATGGCCAGTATAGTTCAATGTGTGTTTTGAAAAAAACCACTTTGAAATTAATAATCATATTACTAAAACCTTTAAGTATTAAAGTACATGCTCGCATTTGACCATCAAAATGTAATATTTATAAGTACCTAGAGGGCTGTTATTGAAAATCTACAATAGCATCTAAAATTAATCTAAATTGCATACGAGTTAAATATCATAAATGAGTTAAAGCTAAGTTACATAATTATATTGTACACATATATATAAGGATATTACACATTCTATTTATAGCCAGTACATTAAAATATGTATCATTAAGTAATATATGTTGAGTATAAAATTACATTTGGTTAAATTCCTACTCAATTTCGACGGTAACTAACTTTCTAAATGATATCGATGAAATATATGATTGTGCATATATCCTGAAATTTTTGATGATTGGGAATTTTTACAATGGACAACAATATTCAATTTTGTACAATAAAATAAAAGAACTTTTTGTGATGCATTTATGAAGCTTTAAAAAAATGTTGGGATGAGGGATCGATATATGTCGTGATTTTGATCAGATATATGTTAAATTCTTGGAAAATTGAAAGTTCTTGTAAGATCAGCAGTAATTATTTATCTATATGCCTCCAAAATCATCAGTATAGATATAGGTAAGAAAACAGTTTAATTTTTTAAATATTTTTACAAAAGTTAGAGAGCAGCAAGAACTAAATTATAGAAAACACTTGTCCTAAATTCAAATAAATTTATGGTATATTATATATCAAGTACCCTTTAAAAATTATAATATTCTCACGGATATCAAATTATTTTCCTGAAAAAAAAACCTTCCATGAAAAGAGTAAAATTCCATCTATCAATTTGCACCAATAATGATCATGATCGGACGAGCAAACTGACACAAAATAACTTTTCAATAATTTAACAAGTTACATATATTTTTGTTGTAAAGAACAGAATTTTTGCAGTCTTAATCATATAGGTATTTCCTTGAATAAAATAGTTGAGTTTGAGAACATCATTGCATAATTGAAATTCAAAAAAAAATCAAAAAAATCATGCCCTACAACATATTTACTGTTTGTCACTTCAGACATCAATTAAATTTTGCTGCATATAAATAAAATATCATGATTTGCATCTTAGTTTAGTTTAGACTCTACTTATTTATTCAAGGAAACTTGAAAAGATACATCCAGTCCCAATTTCTCAAAAAAAACAGAAAGAAGGAAAAAGAAAAATCAAGGTGGTCTTGCTATGCTGGATATGAATAACCTACATTTAACCATAAAACATTTTCTGATTTTTAGATTTTCCTTTTTTCCCCTTTGTTTTTTGTTGAGAAAATGGTTCAGAAACAGAATTAGATATTGATTTCGCCAGGATTTGTTTTTGTATACCCGATATTGGCGAAAGCAGAGTGGTTCAGTTTCCCTGGAATTGGGCTGGAACCAAGGTCAGGCACTTCTCTTAGCATGTGATAACGGGTGTCGTGGTACTCCCGACAGGTACAGCAAGCCTGAATCCACATGCAGACTGTTCCAAGTATGGAAAAGAAAACTCCAATGCATGCTATGTATGTCCCATAATTAATGGAAACATCTGGAACAGAGATCAGTACTTTGTAAAACCCAAACCGGTTTGGTTGATAATCCGGAACAGGGAGACCATGCCATTCTGCCTGGGTGTCCGCAATTACTGACAAGAATACGAGGATTATTGACGTCAGCAGGCATATGGCTGTAAATACAAAACAAATGGTATAACAATAACTGGTCAATAAAAATATAAGGAGAAATTAGATTCCACATAGGGAAATGGTGGCAGTAGAAAACGGATGCAAAATTGAAAATAATGACTTGTTTTAATACAGTAGAACCTTGTTATCTCGAAGTCGAAGGGTCGTGGAAAAACTTCCAGTTATCCATTCTTTTTACTGATTTCATGCTAGTCTACTCACGAAAGATGTTCATAAACACAGAATGGCGAGATGTCGTACTTTTGCGTTTTATTTGTATCAAAGAATTAATAAGTGACAAAATGAAATTCGAACTACGCAGCAGACAATGTTTTGATGTTGGATTTACGCTATTGAAACCAATATCTTACTACGAGGTTTCCGAGTTTTTCGACTTTTCAGGGTTCGAATGATCAGTTTTATATACTATAATAAAGAAGAGGTTTGGTCGGGACCTCATGAGAATACTTAGAGATAAACGGGGTCTTCGAGTTAAATGAGTTCCAGATAAAGAGGATCAACTGTATACATAAATCAACTATACTAAACAATACTTTTAAATTAGATGATGAAATTAAAAAGAATATTTCGGATACCTGTTATAGATCTATGTAGATAATATGTATATAAAGGAATTATTTGGGATGTATGTATGGTTTTGGCCTTATCCTTACCAAAATTTTAAAATGATATAATATTAAGTTATTTGCTGTTTTGAATTCATGAACAGCTATAACATGCAACACTCAATACTAAAACCAAAATCATCAGATGGAAAAAAGAACTTTCACTTACTTAGAGGGGTGGTTGCCACAGCCAGGCAAAGCTCTCCTGTCGTGGAGGCGTATTTCCTACATGCCAAGAGAAATGTTGTAGCACAGCACACAATCATCCCCAGTGATCCCAGCAGGTACAGCAGCTGAGCCATCCGTAGCATTGCTGTCAACATAGAAAAATCTTTTTTTTTTACATTTAAATCATATACCACAACAACCTCACCATAATCCATACACTGAAAGTGTCAGTCATGGTGCAAGGATTTTAATTTTTAATTATGATTTTGGAGGATTTGCAAAACAAGCGTTCTATTTACCTGGGACACTGAATTTATTACCTGTCTGCAACCTTTCAAGTTATATACATATATGTAACTAGGAAATTTGTCAAAGTAATTTATTCAGGCAAATTTCCTTTAACACATTTAGCAAGCTTTCCTTACCCTGATGTGTTATGAGTACCATTATTTAGATATTCAAATGTTACTTTTTTATTTCAAATTCTTTATTTCTCTGATCATGACATTAAATTAATATGGGTCAAGGTAATTTCTTTAAACAAACTTGTACCGGCAAAACACCTGCCAAACACACATCTATATGTGAAACTCCTCATGATCAGTGAACATAAATTATAATAATAATAATTTGAGGTTATTATGTACCTCTTTATTACAACCTTGTTCGGAGGTCGTCTCAAAGTGGTTCACAAATTATTATCCGTGGTTATAGGGCCTTTGCAACCAACCAATATCTTTCTCAACTCCCTGCAGGGGAACATACAGCCGGTGCTGCCATATCAGCGCTCAGTCACTCCCAGCTAGCATTCAACAATGCCAGCACTGCCCAATTAACCATTTACTCATTTACAGCCAAGTAGACTTGAACAAGCGAAGTTAAGTACCTTGCTCAAAGATACAACACAGTGCATGACGTGACTCGAACTAGCAACCCTTCGGTCACGAGCCCAGCGTCCTACCTCTAGATGACTAAATTAGGCTTAAATGTGGCTGGAACACTGGTACCCTTTGCTTTCAAGTTAAAGCATCAAAGCTTATTATAGGGAGGCCTCGCATGCATACATATTTATATATAGTTAATGAAAGTGGCCCATTGTCATGTATCATACATGTTACCAAGCCACTATATATATATATATCAATAAAGCAAAACACAAAGACTAGTATAATCGGCTAGCGCTTTCGCCCATCTTGAGGCTAATCATAATCCGCATGAAGAAGCCCTAGAAGGCAGAAAGGCCTAGCGAATGATAAGAAAAATGGATGTTTTTATTCTATATTTTCCTTCGCAAGGACTTATTTATTGATTATCTACTATATATATAAAAATAACCAGTAATAAATAAACCCCTATAGGTACGGATCATCAGGGGAATAAATCATAAGTGGACACAATTAGACTGATGAAGAACCTTACACCTGTGACAAGAACCTTACACCTGACTGCTATAATTTTCTTTTTTTTAGTGAGTAAAAAACTGTATTGAAATACAATATATAAGAGCTGTAGTCAATGTTTATAAAATTAAGTATATATTTGTGAACAGCTAGCTAGGTGCTGGTCACACTAATGTGAAGTGTATAGGATATAGTATACACATCATACTAGTGTGTCCAGCCCATGATCTGATCTGCGTCTGTGAATCAACCGTGAGTCATCCGCCTAGCTAGATTTTATGGTGTGCGGGGGGGGGGGGGGGGTCATTTATCAATCGCTTTTATAAACAAAGCAATAGTAGAAGACAATAAAACAATGCAGAAATTAAATAAACTTACGTGGAACCAGTCCTTGGTTGTCTATCTTATCCAGCATCATCATGTTGATGAATCGGCTCTCGTCCATGAAGAATAAACCAGAATTAATCGACCTCGGCACCGTCTGTCGGTCGTCTTGAATTGTCAAATCTACGTTCAGGACGAACCAAAATGGTAGCAGCGCTGATAAAACGCACGCTAAACTACACAGACCGTACATGATACCGGTAAGAGTCAATATTTTGGCCCGTAGCAGATTACTTATACAGTCCGCCATATTTCAAATGTTTACAACAATACTTCCGCGTTTTTACCTGTCCACAGGTAAATTAGCACACCTGTGTAATTTGAAGTTACGCTTTAGCTTCAAAGAGTCACTTTGGTACAACGTATCCTCCGAAAAGTCAGTAAGTGGTTAATGGTTATGTCATGGTACCATGTTCAATAATAACACCGAAAATTCCTCAAATTCTACAGCTTTGACCGTCTATCTATACTACCGCCATCTTTGTTTACCGTCAGGTGCGAATGTGACGCTATCATGTAAAGGGGGATAACCCTCTGACATGCCGCACCCGAATAATGGCCTAATTGGCCAGTCATTTCTTATGCATTTATATCGATTGTACCACGGAATAAAATAAGTCAATATTTGAATTATCATATTTAATTTCATCATAATTAGTTGCTTTATTAAAACTGTTGCGAATTCTCATAACTAACAATGATTTGAAAAGGTATAAATTCCCTAATCAAAGACATATACATATGTCTCTGACAAAAACGGACTTAAATTAATGAAGGTTTCACTAAGTTTTGTTGACTTTCAGTTTTACTTGCGATAATATCAAACCATGATCATGATATATTCGATTCTATTTAAAAAAAAAAATCTAAATTTGAAAAATGGATAACATGGGTACCTAATTAATATTTCGGGCACTTTTTTGAAGTGTAACTTTTTTTGTTGGTTGTCTTAGCGATTCCTCGCCATGTGCCATCTGCCGGGACGCAAATTAACTACTAACCGCGTGTGTGTTAGAGGAGTTATATATTATTTTGTGTTATCTTTCTAATTTGGAAATATAATTTTTGAAAAGTAGAATTTGATCATTGACTGGAATCATCACTAGTAAAAATGAAAGTCAAACCTAGATCAATTCCTTCTATAGCAGAACAGAAATTGTATGTGACGGTGGCTTCCTAAAATGTAGCTATGAATGTGCCGTAAAACAGAAATTTAGCCACCAATTTGAATATATTATTTAAACTTAATTAGTATCATATACGTGTTAACTTATAGAACCACACCCTATAGAGTACTGATGTTCCTAAATCTTATATAAGAGTCTTTATCGTCACCTCCGACGGTCTTCTTTTACAAGAAAGGTGAACGGAAATATGATTTTTATTTTAAATAATTTTGGAGTATATTTCATGAAAATCGCGACAAAAGCCATGCAATGTGCAATATAACGAGGATGACATCGCGAGTTCCTTTTTGAGAACGACGACGAGATTGTCCATAGTCTATTGTACTCTAACGGACATAGTCTATTGTACTCTAACGGACTTGTTTTTGTTTTTTAATATGAAGCTGAAGAGCGTATCTGGATTAATAGCAAACACCAATTGGCAAATCCTCCAAGTTTACTTTCAGTCTATATTAACCGGGTCGATATCGTAACTATGTATATTTCTGTTGCTATGCCTACCTACAATAGGACTAACAGGAACGGCTTTCTGCAGGGCTGTATATTTCATACCTATTTTGTTGTTTTATTAGTTGAATCATGTAATAGCGTGAATCGTGACAATAACATAACTATAAATATGCAACTGTAACCTAAGTCTTATACATTTTTTTTATATATAATGTTACACAGGGGGGGCGTAAAATTAATGTGTCACCAGAAAGGTATTTGCACATATTTGAATGGCTTCAAAAGTGTTGCTGGAACGGAACAATAAGGAAATTGGAGAAAATGGAATTAGTTAATCAAAGAATCTGAACTGCAAACAAGTATAAGATTGAAAAAAAATCCAAATAGAAGTATAGTCGAAGGTCAAGTATATATATGGTCTCGAAGGGCACCGTTTTTCCTCCGGGTACTCCGGATTCCTCCCACGTTTAAAGACAGATGCAGACATTGTACAATCATTTTGATTTACAAGTCACTCTAAGACCAGTGGAGTACATATATACTAAGGCTACTTATATAGGAAGTTGGAACTTTTTATAGCAGTAAGATTTTCGAGTTGTCATTCAGAGAAGTACAATTCTATTGTGTATATACAGTGTAGCAATTGTGATATTGACCTCTTACTGGCCACCCCTTAAATCAATAGTTTGTTTGCATACAATCACTAGGGCACCTAATACATCAATACTTTATTCTTATGTTATTATCGGAACATAGTAACAGTGACCTTGACCTTTGGGGTACCATGTCTAAAATCAATGAGCAACCCACACGCCAAACTTATACTGTGTATGATAATATATTGTCAAGTTATCAACAGAACTATTTTCAGCAACGATGACCTTGACCTCTGGTGGACAATGCTAAAATGAATATGATTCCTCGCATTTATTAGGAAAACCAACACATAAAGATTGAACTTTACATGATCATTCCTTATTATCTGGACATGCAGAATGCTATTTTCAGCAATGGTGACCTTGACCTCTGGTGGACAATGCCCACAATCAATAGGGTTATTTGCATTCAATACAACAGCCCACACACCGAATTTGAACTTTGTTTGTCAAGTAAGCATCTGGACAAGCAAGATCAAGCATAATTCTATATTTAACAATGGGTACCTTTATGTCTTGTCTAGGGCACCATGTCCAAAATCAGTAGGGTAAGTTGCATCTATTTGGGCACCTATCAAAATTAAACTTTGTATGACCAATTGTTCACAAGTTTTTATCAAGTAAAGCACTGTACGGACGGACACCATATGTGTTTTCACTGTTTTGCCAATGTTGAATCAATGTTGAATCGGTAGAGAGGTTTGCAGCCAAATGTTGCCATCAACATGAACGATCAGCGCATTCCCTCCAGGAGCAGAGACAAAGATCATCAATGTTGGCAGACTACCTAGGATTCTACCAGATTCACCATAATAAACAATGACCTCTTTAGGACTCTTGAAAAAACTGAAGTCTTGAAAATAAGTAAACGTTGCCTTATCAAACTCTTACATCCGATATATTCATCTCCAGTCTTTGTTCCCTTTATTTGTATGTTTTTCTAGGTTTTCAGTCAAACTTTCTTTTATTTTTGTGTATATTGGAATTTGTTTATGAGGACATTTTATCATGTAACCAATGTACCTAGGTTATCCAGGTTTCCCTGTATAACTATTGTAGATCCAATGTAAATGGGGAACAATGAGCTCAACTGTATATATTATTATATATAGAAGTCTACCAAGTTTGAGTAAAACTAAAGAAGTGTGTAACACATGAATGCCCTTTGTCACAGAAAATGTATCTCACTGTTTGAAAATTTTCTATCAATTGTAATGGTGACCTTGACCTAGTAACTAGTTTTTCGAAATGGCAGCCGTAGCGGCCATATTGGATTTGTGATCGACCCGAAAAATAACAACACTTTGTCAGGACCACGAGTCGTTCATTCCTAAAAGGTTTCAGTTAAATCGACCCATAAGAACTTGACTTATATACTAGCGGAAAAAAGGAACTGTGCATGCCTAAAATGTGTTATAAAATAAATGTGTATGACGTAGAACAACAAGGTTTTCAGGGACAATTTATTTTTATTTATTAACAGTTTCATTTCATTTTCCACGTTATGGAATCGATAAGTTCCGCTCAGGAGTGAGTAAACACAGCAGGGGTCAATACTGAGTTCACAAAGTTAATACCTCGTATGTCCACCGTTTGCCTGAATGCATCCTGGCAACGACGATGCATGGAGCCTATCAGACGGTTCAAGAATGCTTGTTGGATGGCATTCCAGATCTGTACCAACACTACAGGTAACTCAGGCAACGTCACCGGTTGATTAGGTAATGCCCGTAATCTGCGCTTCATTTCATCCCAGCAGGCCATGGCAACACGTCAACATTCTGCTGGGCCAACAAGTCCATAGCGACACGAGCTGTGTGTGGCCTAACGTTGTCCTGCTGTAGCGTAATGTGACGTTGCTGCCCTTGCACGAATGGAACGACGTGAGTCCGGAGGATCTCGTCACGGTAACGTAGCGCGTTCAAATTCCTGTTAACAACCACCAGAGGCGTTCTCCCGTTGGCTGTGATGCCGCCCCAAATCATAACGCTGCCTCCGCCGAACGAACGTCGTTGTACCACAAAAGCGTCACGGAAACGTTCTCCAACGCGACGATATACTCTGGAACGTCCGTCCCTACTATCCAGGTGGACTCACGACTCGTCCGTAAACAAAATGCCTGCCCAATCCCGTCGAGTAAATCGCAGATTCCTTCTGCACCAGTCCAGACGTGCTACACGATGACGTGGCTGAAGAACTGGGCGGATTGCAGGACGTCGCAGACGGATAGCTCGTTCACGCAATCGGTTCCGTACAGTTCTCGGGCTTATTGGTAGCAACCTAGGGATTCTCCGTGTAGTCAAACTTGCCGTTTGGAAGCGATTTCTCAAATAGATAAGCCGAATATGGTTGTCCTGTTGACGCGACGTCACATGTGGACGTCCCGCACGAGGTCGATCGCCGACGTGGCCAGACTGTTGATGTCGTCTCCACAAATCCCATTTTGTGTTTCGATGGACATGAAAACGTGCAAAGACAACGGCTTGGCCCATACCAGCTTGAAGCATACAAATAATACGGAGGCGGGCATTTTCATTGAGCCTCGGTATAGCATTAATCACAAATTAAAACGTTATAATGCTGTTTTTACTGTTCACTGGTTTCAACAGATTGACTCAACAGTTGATAAATAAACTTTCATTGTCGAATTGGATGGCTGGACGAGAAAAACGTGCAAACTGGTCAACGCCTATAGAGAGCAAACTGCACGGGAAAAACTGTCACGGATAGTGTGTATGTGTCATACTCGGTCATGTGTGTGAACTTTCATGTATATACAGGTTGTATACATGTTTTATAACAATTCTCCGCATATAGTTTCTTTTTTTCCGCTAGTATAGTTTAATTATTTGTTTTTCAAAATGGCGGCATTGGCGGCCATATTGGATTTCTGATGGACCCGAAAAATAACAACACTTGGTCAGGGAGATATAAATGTAATCTCTTCGACCTTTTTTAGCTTAAGTTGAAAACGTTAAATGTTAACAGATGACACGACGACAGACGAAGACGGATGGCAATAATTAAGTTACTTGAGCTAAAGCTCAGGCGACCTAATAAGAACAAATACTTTAAAGATCTACACATTTTTGACTTATTTTTAAATTCATACTTTGGAAATAAAACTCCAGGGTGTTGAAATTAAAATTGTTTGCATTAGACTCTTTATTGATCAGATCTAATTGTTCATCAATAAATATGTGCAACTGATATTTAGAATGTATATATACCCAATAGAGTAAACAAAGGTCTTCTGTCTTCATCAGGTAGGTATATATATATTGTGTGTGTGACAAAAAAATACTCTTGCTTACAGATAATGTTACAAGGTTCAAACTCATGAATGGCTAATTAATAAATCTCATAAATCTAATTTACAGAAAAGAGGCCTAGAGGGCCTGTATCACTCACTCTTTTCTTATATACCAGTTTAAATGGTTCTTAAGTTATTGTTGACATTTTAATCTTAAAGCTATTAACCCATGTGGACATTTGACTCCGGCTAGCACTTGAAGTTGACATTTTACCTCATTTCTGTAATTAAGAGAACTATTCACACTGCTGGTCTACATAACATACCCTAGTATCATGACTATAGTCTAGTTGTTCTTAGGATATTGTTGTTTGAAGTTTTTTTAACTTACTTGAACCCTGTGACCTTGAAAGTAGGTCAAGGTCATTTTAATGAGGAACTTTATAGCACTACATCCCAGGTACCTGTTGGCCAAATATCATGACACTGGGCCTTATGGAACTTGAGAAGAAGATTGTTAAAGCTTTAAACCCATGTCAACTACTTGCCTAATATCATGACCCTAGGTCTTCCAGTTTTTCAGAAGAAGTCGTTCAAAAGAAAGTTGACGGACGGATGACAGACAGAGGACACCGCACTACGGCATTAGCTCACATGGCCCTTTGGGCCAGGTGACCTAAAACCATTAATATTTGCAAATTTTGAATGAACAAATAAATCACTGAAACAAGAATTTGTATTACAAAACTACAGAAAAAAACAGCATAAATTCATATTATCTTAATACACACAGAGTTTTAATATATCAGTCTCTACAGACAGCACTACCAGTAACACATTTTACAATGTATAAGTTATACAATGTGAAACTTTTTACAATGTACAATTTGCAATGTAAAAGTTTAACAAAGATAATTTTTTAGAATGCACATGATTAACAATGCACATGTCTAACAATGTATAGTTTATTCAATGTACATGTTTAACGATGTATAGATTATACAATGTAAACGTTTTTTTACAAAGTAAGTGTTTTACAGAATTGACAATGCATAATTTTACAACTTAAAGTTTTTACAATGTGCTATTTTTTTTACAAAGTAGTTGTTTTACAACGAAAAAGTTTTTTTTACAAAGTTCTTGTTTTACCAATTTAAAAGTTTTACAATGTACAAACAACAGATTAAACATTTACATAATGTGTTTAATTGTGTTTGCAAGGTAAAACACAAAATGTTAATGGCTACACAGAAATCATGGCTATCATGCGTAACTTGTGACTATAGCTTAGGTGAAGAGAAATAAGAAAAAATGGGAATGAATGATAAGCTTTTTATCACATGTTCAACCAAAGCATACAATGGCTAACACCTTTATTAATATCTACCAGGGTTGCCTTCACGTATCCCGGTAAAAATGGTTCAGGTGGTGTAGAAATATTGTGCTACAAATTCAGGCGCTTGAACTGAAACTGTGCCAAAGTTTTAGGAAAAGCTGAAAAAAGAAAGCCAAGTTTCGAAGATTTGTTATGTGAAGCAACCTTGTTTTTTGTGAAAATAATGCAAATTACTATGTTTAGTTTAGTTTCAGTCCGGCATGTTTGGACCCCTCAAATGTTACTGAGGTCAGACTCGGTTCTGATCTGGACCCTTTCTTGATTTAGCAGCTGAGTTTAAACCGTTCAATTGGATACGCGAAAGGGGGTCGTCAGTCCTGCCTTCGTGTTGATATGTGCCGTAACAATGGATGATACTATATGGTAAACATAGAATGTCTATTTTATAATTTCACTCAATATCAACCCATGAGTACGGTAAAATCATTTAAACATCTCTTTTTCTTAGAAATCTGAGTATGTCCCCTCTAGTGATGCTACATGAAGTTGGAGGTATATCCGGTAATAGAAACAGTGACAGTAAAACCCCTATAAAACACACTTTAATCTCTAGAAACAGTCATTTCAAATATAATGGTCTATTTAAACTTAGATGTTGCATATTAAAATCACAAATTTATAACAAAATATACATTTTAGATGATATTACTGTTTTTAGAGACAGAAATGTTGTCGACATATATAATCCATAGATGTACAGAAACACCAACTATCAATGTTACAATAAGACAAATTTATTTTTCATAGAAACTAGAGCATTAAATTTCAAAGAAACTTTATTTAACAGCACTGAAAATGACAAAAAAACACCAGGTTCCTACAATGTGTATATTGTGTGATAGCTATACATTTGTACAACCAATAAAAAGCAGAATCTTACAAATTTACATCACAAAGGTTGCTATGACATTCATTTAGAACTTAGAGCTGGTACAGATTTAGGATTAAAAGAAAATCTGTGAGTTTTCAAGCCATGAAATCAGAATATAACAAAATGATTTCCACATCCTTTTTTTCTTAGAAAGCTGAGTATATTCATCCTCCAATAATGCTTCAGCAAGTTGGAGGTATGCCTGGTAACAGAAGCAGTGACCGCTTCTTCTTTTTTAACATTCAGCAATAACTTAAGAATGATTTCCAAAAAGTCATAATAAAAGTTTCCCTGCAAATTTGATGTGCAGTACATACTTATCATGTACTTACTTGATGTCTGCAATTAATTATAAGACTGCATACATTTAGATGGCATACATTTTAATTTGAAGGATTGATGTACATTTATAAACAAGAAAATTACAAAACAATCCATAATTTTTAAAACTGAGATTAACACTGTGGTGATTCACATGCACAGGATCATATAATAGGTAATGCAATATATGCAAAACGTTTCCTATACCTCAAAGTAGAAACAGAACAAGGGAGATAACTGTCTTAATATCAATGGAAACATGGCACTTACATGCAATGGTTTATATTATGGATAATAAGCATTCTGGGGATATTGTCACATGTGCTTGAATCAATTTTCTTCTCTACAACAATAAACAATATCTCAGAATTGAGCAATGCTTCTACTGGACCTATATTATCTCATTCACCCCGGAAGACAAATTAGAACTCCTCCAATTCAAGGGTTGGAATAGTTCATTATGAAATTTCAGGGGTGGATGAGTTATGGTAGTACGGTACTGTGGATAGTTAGTCATAGTCAGTCAATAGCTTGAATGTTTTCCATGTATTGTTGAAATGAATTTTCACAAACTATATTTAAATTATTGTGTAATAGATATATGAAATTTCTGTTGACTGATGATATATTTGAATGTCTGCTTTGTGAAATCTACTTGAGATCAGTCCGACGTGCATTGGTCACCATTCATAAGCATTCTAAACAACCAAAAAAGGGGGCTGGGGGGGCGGATATGACCTTACTCAGATATGTACTCGTCTTTCTCTTCAAAGGAGTTTTGTGTGCTCGAATGAACCCATAGAACTTAAAGGTCTACAAATGGTATTCTATTCTTGTATACTTTATTGACAAATTTGAAAGGTACACAAAAATACTTACACTTAAACATTCCAATAATTCTGAAGGATTGAAAGCTGTTAAATATATATAATTAAGAATGTTCAAGGGAGATAACTCCAGCACCGAATCGCCTGGAAAATACATCAAGAAGCATTGATCTTTAATTTCATGATATCATCATTGATGTCAACAAAGTAGAACCACTTCAACTCTGACAGTGATAATTAAGACAAAAATCACTTTTGGGAAATTAATAAAATTAGAAATTAATTAACTAATTTAGGTGGCTCTCAATGTTTGTCTAGAAAATTTATTAGTCTAGACTTAACCTTTTCACCCCTTCAGACTAGTGAAGTATGTCTCTGATTAAAGCAGAGGTTATACCATTACAGAGTTATGGGGTGGAAAGGGGTAATACAACCATTGTCTGAAATAGTGAGGTTCCACATTATGACTGTTGATATATATATATCCGCCTGAAGAAGCCCTAGAAGGCAGAAAGGCCTAGCGGACAATCTGAAAAATTTGTTTTTATTCTATATTTTCCTTCGCAAGGACTTATTTATTTATTATCTACTATATATATATATATTCCGTCTNGGTGTTCAGATCAACCTTTTTGTATCATTATCTAGAGGTACAAACTTTCAAAATGATATATCTGTATGAATGCATAATTTCTCCCCATAGTTTCTAATTCATAATACCTAAGAATATGCTTATTAATAAAAGAGCAAAAGAATTCTACAGAACTCAGATCATTAACAATCTATGGCTTGTTGGCCACGGCCAAACACATAAATTCTTCGTAACTTAGACGTATGTTTCCTTGTCTTTGTGCATCACGTGACACGAAATTGTCTGTCAGCGTTTTCAACATCACACATGCTTGAATGAAATTGTCTAGGGTCAGTTGTCTTCTGCCTAATGTGTCAAACTTGCAGACAACCATGTTAGCAAACTGAGGCGATACATTGTATCCCATTCTCTGGAAAGCTGCAACAGAAAACACATTGTTAAAACTACTTCTTGAATTCCTTAAATCATTCACCACTGAAGACACATTTGAACTCTTCCAATTCAAAGGTTGGAATGGTTCATTATGAAATGGGGTGAATGAGGTTAAATGAGGAATTTTTACCCCATATCAGCTTTTACCTTTAATCTGATTACAAGGTATGGGGTAAAAATTCTTAATTTTAGCTCTCTGAAAGCAGGATTTAAATCAAAACAGCATAAAAAACAAATGCATTGTTTCAGCACTACAGTACAATTGTCTTTAAACACATGTTAATCGACAGAAATCTAAAACCAGAAATTCTGCATGGTGAAACGTGCCTTCGCAGTTTTAACAATTTATAATATAGGTCAAGCTGATTAAAATTATTATTTCAGGTCTGGTTCTGAGTCAGTTATTGTCAAAATGAGAAACGGTTGTTTTGACTTACTAAACAAAGTCAACTTTAGGTTACAAAAAATAATTATTGATATAAAATGATTTTTGTATAACAGATGGGAAACATTCGCACAGTCAAACTTTCTCCCTCCACAGGTAAAATCCAGATTGGCCCGTTGTTAACTTTACTGATAATATGTCATTAATAGGCATGGTGTGATGTGTACTTATACCAATGTCATGGTAATCTGCCCTCATTCCACCGGGCAAAATTGAAAGCAAAATTAAACTGTGATTAAGAGTTTTTGTTAGTACACCAGCTTGTCAGCTTCATGTTGAGAATTCGTTTTTTATTTCCTTTATAAGGTGAATGTAATTCAGTAAATCACAAAATTGAACATCATGTTGCATACTCATGTATAACATTTTCCTGTCCAGTACACTAAAACACTTAAGTCCTGACAAGTATGGAAAGTGTTCTTGTGAGTCTACAAATTCAGCATAAAAATTGGTAAGTATACTTACCACAAGTATACCATTGTTACCACAAGTATACCAAGTATGCTTCAAGTATACTTGAGACATACTTCAGGTACACTTCAAGGATACTTGAGACATGCTTCAGGTATACTTGCGGTTAGCCAATTCTGTAAGGTGTGTATGAATAAGTACAGTAGAGATCTCAGTAGATACGTTATCATATATTCACCTCCAGTCAACTCGTGAGCCTCGATAGATCCTGTCCTGTTCTGATCTGTCTGCTCAAATACACCCTTCCACTGCTGAATATAGTTCCACAGTGCAGCAAACTCTTGCAAATTTATTGTTCCAGAGAAATCTCGATCAAACATCCCTAAAATTGCAAGAACAACTAAATTGTACAAGAGGATCAAACAAATTCTTCATTTTTATGTTAATAACACCCATTTCAGTGATTACAAAATGGGGCAAAATTAATTGTATGTTTTTTTTTACTTACCATGGGTCTTTCTACATTCTTGTTTTCACAAATAAGTCTGTGATAAATAGAGGTTCCCCAGTAAGTGGTGGTTGGTTATCATGTTCATCTTACTTGAGCTAGTTGATTTTCAAATTATATAAAGGTATGAGGTTGACGGTCATAACAAAAACAAAGGCTTTGTGTGCTCCACCTTGTGGATGATTTAAGTAAATTACCTGAATTTTGATTCTTTCATGTGCATCAAAAAAATCATGTGGCAGCATAATGGTAAAAATAACATGCTATAAAGTCGGGTGTCATTCAAGTGTAATTATCAAAGGACAAGTATCAACATAGTGATTGGTCATTTTTAAAACATGAAAGCAATCACATATAGCTAACCGGCTGCAGGGGTGCCTTTGATGTGCCATAACATTATCCTGGCGTACAGAAAACGCAGGTGAGCATACCCCTGGAATTTTGAGAAAGTTGATCTCTGCATTGATGTCGGAAGTGAGCCCTACCTATCATTATCTTAGTAGTCTCTGAATTGAAATGAGACCAGTTGGTACGTCTAGAGTCTGATTGAGCCCTACCTATCATGTCCGTTGTAGTCTCTGAAATGAATGGAGATCAGTTTGTATGACTAGGGCCTGATTGAGCCTCACCTATCATGAGCCTGGTAGTCTCTGCATTGAAGTGAGACCAGTTGGTACGACTAGAGCCTGAGTGAGCCCTACCTATCATGTCCCTTGTAGTCTCTAAATTGAATGGAGACCAGTTTGTATGACTAGAGCCTGATTGAGCCCTACCTATCATGAGCCTGGTAGTCTCTGCATTGAAGTGAGACCAGTTGGTATGACTAGAGCCTGAGTGAGCCCTACCTATCATGTCCCTTGTAGTCTCTAAATTGAATGGAGACCAGTTTGTATGACTAGGGCCTGGTTGAGCCCTACCTATCATGAGCCTGGTAGTCTCTGCATTGAAGTGAGACCAGTTGGTACGACTAGAGCCTGATAAAGCCCTACCTATCATGTCCCTTGTAGTCTCTGAATTTAATGGAGACCAGTTTTTATGACTAGGGGCTGATTGAGCCTTACCTTTTATGTCCCTTGTAGTCTCTGAATTGAATGGAGACCAGTTTTTATGACTAGGGCCTGATTGAGCCTTACCTATCATGAGCCTGGTAGTCTCTGCATTGAAGTGAGACCAGTTGGCATTGACTAGGGCCTGCTGTAGCTCTATGGCTGTGATCTGTCCACTGCGGTCAGTATCCACAGATTGGAACCAGAGATATACTTGTGGGTCCATTCCTGGAGGAGGTCCTACAACAGAAAGCACAACAATATATATTTGGATTTAACTTAAAAATATTCACTTTAGGAGTGGTTTTTCAGTAGTCATGTCCCCTAATAACTTCTATTTTGTTATACATATAGATATACATCCTAACTTAATTTTCGACTGTACTTACAAACAAAATCCACATGAGATATCCTGCAGTTGTAGATTTTGGAAATTAAAAAAAGAAACAGAAAATTTTGCATTTCTTGCGTATGAATGTTTTTTGGATACCTACGCATGCAGGTTTAATGCCTTCTTCGCTAGCCAAGGGCTACGATCTGGAATGATCTACCTAAAGAGTAGAAAGACCGGATTGTACCGAATCATAACCATTGGCTAACGAAGATGGTTTAATCCTTGATTTCAGTATTTTTTACAATAAACAAGATGAAAGACTTATGTTAAATTGTAATCAAACAACTGGACACTAGCCCTTCCATGAACAGCTAGCATATCCTATTTCAATTTAATTCAAAAGTATTTAATAGACAATACTTATATAATACAAACATGTAAGTTGTACATATTAAATCAGACAATAGTACAGATTGAGAATTAACAAAAGAATTGGACAACAGGCTAAGCCCATATCAGTCTACTTCTATTCCTGTAGCCTGTAGGGATTAAATATATAAAGAATGTGATTTGAGTTTGTAATTTTAGTTGGCTAATTGAAGTATAAAGCGATAAGAATTTAATGAAATATGATATTAAGGATACTGTCATAGAAAGTATTCATAAATTTTCTCAAAATAACAAGCGTAAGTGTAGGGCTGGCATGGAAATCCTATCCTATGTTGAATTTCTATGTTCCCTTGATTTTGATGATTTTACGTCCAATATAACGGCCTTTCAGCAGACGAGAAAAGATAGAAAAATAAAAATAGAAGGGATAAAGTATATGTAGAGGAAGTATAAAAAGAGAGAAGGTAGAGGCGGAGAAGACATGAGTCGTATGTCCTATATGTTCTACATATATAGGAGACACTATTTTACAAGACGACTCTTGGTTGATTTACCTGATGTTGTTCTGTAATGCAACAAAATGTTGCCAGACATCTATTTTTATATACCTGCTATTGGGGCTCCTCCATATGGCATCTGTCCAGGCATCCCAGGTTGTCCAGGCATCCCACCTGGTGCCCCGTATTGACCAGCTGGTGGAGGGACATACTGTGCAGGGGGAGGGGCACCATAACCTGGCTGTCCAGGGTACTGACCTTGGGGTGGGGCACCATAAGGGGCCTGTCCATAGGGTTGCTGTAAATAAACAAAATTTCTCTGTAAACCCAGACTGCAATAAATGACTAATAGTCTATGGTAACATGTTACGCCATGTAATTTTGGCTGCTGGTCAGCTAAATTTTTTCATCAGATTTAATTGTGCCGACACGGTCCTTGTCAAAGCTACAACTGTCTATTGCTCTGTAAAGCTGAAACACTGTTGGAGAAAGTACAGTGCGGACCAACCAAGAAGTTATTCTCCTGAAATTGTTCATACTTGAATCAAACTACCTATCGTTTACGTTTAATTATGTTTCTGTTAACAATGTCATAGATTTGCATGCTTGTTATGTTTTATATATGACGCTTCCTCCGTTTTTATTTGTTATATAGTCGGTTGTAAAAGCCTTTCATAGGCTTGTTGTCTTGTTTAACTATGTACCGACTCTTAAATAAAATTGATTTGACTTGACCAGGGAGTAATCAAGCTTCTTCAATCAACTAACCAGTTAAAGAAAAAAGACGTTCGGGGGTATTGTTCCATGAATTGGCTTCTAAATTAGAAAATAAGGAGTTATTCAATGGCATTCCAACGGCTGATGGTTCCTTAACTTAAGAAAATCTCCCTGGACTCGCTCCTTCCACTGAACTACAGTCACTGCCCTGGAGTAGAATTTAGATGACGCGATGAGGAAGTTGTCAACTTACAATGGTCAAGTCCGGTACATACTAACAGTGTTAAAACTGTAATTATCAGCGTATTATCGTGTCGACCGATAAGGACATTGTGTCATATTCTTTTCAGATGGAAGCGAATATAAACTGAATGACATTACAACGACTTCAAGCCGAAATCAACATAGATTTGAAATAACTCTCTGGAAACGGTGCTTACCTGTCCATAGGGATGCGCCATTTTGAATGTATAAATAGCAGAATATAAATAGAAGCGGAGGAATACTTTTCCGGTTTGATTTAAAGCCTATAGCCAGAGATAACTTCTATGCACAAAGAATAAGCAAATATATGCCTTAAAATCTATCGTGAATATATGCAATAGACAACAATAGCTTATTAAGTTTCTTTTTCTTTTTCATTCCGGATTAAATTTAATTTCTAAAATTTGATACAAATGATAAACATCCATGATAAAGCCCCGCCCTCAATGTACATAGGGCTACATTTGCGTATCCCGGTTGAAACGGTACGTGTGGCGCAGAAATTTCAACGATAAACGAACACACTTGGACCGTTCTATAAGCAGAGCTAAAAATCCACAGTTTCGGAGAATAAAAAACAATGTATCAAGAATATCATGCCCTTCTCTCACGCGTCCACTAAATTACATAGCGGATCTTAAAAATTACATGTGACTTGACATTGTTAAGAAAGAAATAACGCAAATTGGCAAAAGTCAGCATTTTAGTTTCGGTCAGGTACGTCTGGACCCCTCAATCTACACGTACCAAATTTTCCTGAGGTCAGCCTCGGTCCAAATCTGTACCTGTCGTTTTCTTTACAGGTGCAACCGGTTCAACCGTTTCAACCGGATACGCGAATGAAGCCTAGAACTTAAAGTTATTGCTATTACATCGATTTCACTGTTTAAATAAGGATGGCGATTTATCAGGAACTGTCTCCTTATTATGCAACAGTATTTGTGTTAGCTGTCATCTTCTCATTCAATCAAAAAGTAAGTTTCTATGCACTGTCCCTGTACTATAAACATGTATTAGAGTTTTGCTTTTATTAATTTTCTTAAAAGTTGATGTCCATATAAACTAGTTGTAGTGGGATCTGATTTTTAAACATGTCAATTCATTAATACAGATCAATGCAGACGCAGACAGGGGACACTGTATTTGGTATGGCGAGTGCCAGGACGTCACGCCTAGGGGCAAACTAAATTGTGTGTACAACGGACCGGCAAAACCAATGACTGATCCAAAGGCATTAAGCCGACTTCTACAATATTGTCCACAGCTGTATGCGGGTAAGCATTGATTGATTGATTGATTGATTGATAGGTTTTACGTCCGCCTCAATACCGAGTAGTTCGGTTATCCAGCAGACTCGGGTAGGCATTAATATCTTACCTTTCTCAGAGACGTATATATATTACAGAGACCTATTACAATATAATATAATGATATTAGGACTCGAGGGCTGATTGGGGGTGTGCTATTAAAATGGTCATATCATAAACCTTTACCCTTTTTTAAAAATAAACAAAAAATACACACAAAAAATATTTCTTTATTTTATTTATATTCATAAAAATGATAACAAAAACAATGATGCATATAAACAAAACAGTAACAATTATACGTAAAAAGTCAACATTTAGATATTCCCAAATTCCTACGAAATTATATGGTTATTAGAATTTGGGTGGGGCTTTGTAAATCAATCTTTGAATTATTTTCCATGAAACCGCAATTATTCCATGACAACAATTCGTTTGTTTACATTTAAAGTAGACAACATTAAGCGGAAGCGGCGAAATCCGGAAATTTGGGAGGGGGTGTGATATCACTTTTCTAGGGAGTGTGATATCACTTTCAAGGGGGTGTGATATCACTCCAAGGGGTGTGATATCACCCGGGCTGATACCAACTTGTGGAAATTTTAGACTTATTACACAAACAAAAAGGGTGTTATTATTAGTAAACATATGATAACATATATTATCATATGTTTACTCAGAATATGAGTGTTTTTGCATATTTGATAACTTCTGACCACTCCTGATACCACTTCCGGTCACCCGTGTGATAATTTTCTCGTAATGCATCCCCCATCCGATAACAATTCTCGTAATGCATCCCCTGTTCGGAAAACCTCTACTTCTGTATTGGATATGGGAAGCGCCCGAAGCGTTCCGAGTAAAATCCGGATTTGCGCTGTCAGTTGTTTTTTTGCTTAGACAGTGTTGAGCAAACCAGGGAGAGGAAATACTTAATTCTCTAGCGTCTAGAATACTTGAATTGGATGACCTCATTGATAAGGAAAATGCGGAGAAGAGTGCAAGGTTCGGTTGTGACGAGGACACGAAGAAAAGGAGAGTGAATGTCATAACGGACTCGGATAGTGAATAAACCATGGCGTTTCATCTGCAATGAATACTATAGTATTAGTCGGACTAATAATTACTGACAGCAGCGATTTGAAACGATATTTATTCAGAATTGACTGAATATCATCTTGTAATAATCTGTTTCAGTTGACATTGTTGATTAAATTATCTAATTGTTTTTTCCTGTTGACTTGATTTTTTGTTACTTGAACATATGATAAAAAGTTTATAATATGACCATTTTGATATCATATCCCTTATCAGCCCTCGGNAACATATGAATTATGTACTCAAGCCACCTTTCTTGAAACTCTCTTATTAACTTCATGTTACACGGTCAAATGGGCAATGGAGTGTATACATGTACATTGAAAACAGTGTTTGGCTAAAGTCTCTCCAAACTCTTCCATATTAATATTATTGAAAAGAATTGTGGATTTGTTTTTCTTTATCACGGAAACAAAATATAGGGCTTGAGCATAGAATCTGAGATTGAGCAGGATAATGGTTTCATGAAAGTATAGGCAAAATATAGACAAAAGAAAAGTTTACCTTTGTCTCCGATACAGCTAATTGGTAACTGAATAGACGAAAAGAGTTTAAAATAGTGTGATTTCATCGGGTTTTAAGGAATTTAAATGATGTACACTCTCTGAGAAGTCAAAATTTTCCTTTATTATTATACCTTTACTTATTTTACACTATACAAAAGTAACCACATAAACAAGCTATTTCCCCTCTAACTGCATGCCAGGGAAATAGTTCGTCTGGAGGGGTGCGATAGTTTTGAAACTATTTCCCTCTGAAAATGCGGGAAATTGAGTGACGTCGTAGGCGGGGCTTGACCGAATATTGACCAATCAGCGCAATCGAATTACGTCGGCAATTTCCGGCAATTTCCGACCAGCGGAGCCGGTACTTTCTGGACCGACCTTCACCTCGCATTGTTGTAGTTTTGTTAATAAAGTGTCCCAACTGTTAAAAAATGTGTTGTCTTATAATATTTAGAATATTGTAAGGGAGTGTTTGTATCGGTATAATAAAACAGTTGAAGCATGGGTATTTCGGGATATAGTTCTCGGGAAATAGTCCTGGCCTCGGGGGATCAAAAACTTGCTATATCCCTCATACCCATACTTTAATTGTTAATTAAACTTTCTCCTTATATGCATCTTTTGAAAAAGGAATAAATGGCATAGTAGAAAAAACGATCCTGTCCGTGTGTTCGTTTTTTTTTTTTTGCTAAGATCGGTCATAGATACTAATTTAACATAGTATGTGATTTTAGTTGATTGTTTTTAGATTTGATCATTTGCAGAACCAATTCATACAATATCTTCCAATGGTGTTAATATATGTAAGAAGATTTGCAGAATTGATAAAAATAGCATTTTCTTTTAAATTATCAAATTAAAATTTCTTAATCTTTTTTCTGTATCCTAGAAAAACGACTTAAAGGATTTTAACCACGGTTTTTCATGAATTCATATTTTACGGTTATTTGATGTTATAATACGTGTGGTGACCGAGACCCCGTCTCTCTCGAAACTCGGATGATAAAGGCCAGGTGATGTGCCTATTTGGATCATGGAACGAGGCCTAGGTCACGCTATATGTGTGGCACGACCTATCCGATATCTTCTGACACGTCCTTTATAAATTATCTGCGTAACAGTGGAAGTTATGACAGCAACTAATATATATGGTGTGTGGGTAAAATCATAAATCGACAAACACAGACGCGAGTAATGTTCTTATCAGAAAAAGAGAAGTTATACTGTACAATATGGTTTTATTATATTATAGGTGTATTGACAGACGAGGCTAGAAAAAGAGAAGTTAAGTTATACATTCAAGCCTGACTCACAGGTACTAGCCACGTCTGTCAATACACCTACAATATAGCTTTTCTATTTCGAGTTTGAATTTCACGTATAATTTAAAGCTAGCGATGAGTGGATATTTGGGAACCTGTTTCTTTTCTGTGAAATATTATTAGAATATGAAGCAATATTTGTTTGTGCTTGGGTTTTGGGTAACTTCTTCAACTAGCCACAATTAAATAACGAAGTTGTTTAATTATTTGTAAAGATGTTGTAAAAACTTATTTCAATTGTTGTTGAACGGAGTAGGCAAATAGCGTCTCAAAACGGTACACATTTTCATATACATATATTTCAATACATTATAGAGAGGACAATATTTGCTTAATTCACACAAGTATAGACTTGCATGTATCTGATTTTAAGTGATGTGAAAACAATCATGACGTGGGGAAGGAACTATCCCGATTTCAGCCGTCATCTAAATATAAAGCAATATGTAAATGAAACAAATATTGTAAACTATCATATTATTCACTTTTAATCGTGCTAGTGACAGTATGATTGACACTAGACATAAGTTGGTTGTTCTCGTATACACGTGGTTATACAATTAAACTATATGGCCCGGTGTTTTAACCTTTCATGTGATCTACATTCGCGATTATGAGAAAATCAAATTGAATGAAAGTTTATGCGTTCCATGTCTACGTGCTCTAATATACATGTAATAGACAAGTACATCCTTAAACTAATGTGATATCAATGTGTTGTTGTGGGTCTATCAGGGATAAATGTGGGGGTCGGGGGATTTTATAAAAAAAAAAAATATTTTTCAATTAAATATTGAATCCACTCAAGATGCCTATGTGATACGTATCTTCATTTTAAAAAAAAAAAGGATCTTTTTCTCACATTAAATGTATACTTTTCTATTTGGCCAGGAAATTCTACTCTGACATGTTGCAGTTCTACTCAGCTGACTACGATGGAACAAAACATGGGTCTGGCAAGGGAACTCCTCTATAGATGTTCTTCCTGCTTCTACAACTTTCTCAACATATTCTGCTCCCTGACATGTGACCCCCATCAAAGCACTTATGTGGGGGTCAAAACCAAGGGTAATAACGACAAGGGGGTCCCGACAGTTTTGTCTGTTGACTATGCCATGACAACCACCTTTGCGAATGGAATGTATAAATCTTGTAAAGACGTTGTTATGCCCAGTTCAAATCAGCCTGCAATAAGTGTGCTTTGTGGCCATCCTGCTGATGACTGCACAGCTAAAAGATTACTTGATTATCTAGGATCTCCATCTAACGGACGTACGCCATTTGGAATTGATTTCCATGTACAGGACACGCCGTGGTCTAGCCCGGGACTGTACACGCTGAATCCTATGAATACTACTGCAGTGCCGTGTTATGAGACATTTGGTAACTTCTCTGCCTGTTCAAACCAGGACTGTCCTGCAATATCCTCACCCCTGACACCTACTCTACCTAACATTTCAGTCCTGTATCCATGGTAAGTACCAAATATCTGACCTAATTAATTTCATACACATGATCTTCATTAATTCCTGTAGGAACTCTATATAAATCTCTGATTTAGATAGAGTTCCTACAGGAATTAGATCTTCATCAACAAACTTCAGGCTCGTAGCAGGTCTGTAAACGCACCTAATCAAAGGTATCATGTAATCATCATAGTAAGGTGGGAATGGTGGAAATTCGGGCAGGGGCCGGAAACTTTTGATATTGAAAAGCTTAATTTGTTGTGCTATCTGGTAGGTTTTTAAGAGCGATACTTGTTATTCAGTTTTTTCTTCCTTTTTCTTTCAGAATTTCTGAAATAAAAAAGGTAGATGAATTGTTGTTTCTCTGATAGAAAATAACTTCAGTACTGTCGACTGTTTTTAAAGACTTAAAGCTCGAATCATGAACACATTGTATTGTTGAATAAAATCATTCAGTTACAAAGTAGCCGAACATAGCTGTTACGATCAGGTACTGCAAAGCCATTTAATTAAAAAGGTACATTTGAGGTGTTTTTTTATATACACGCAACTGCTTATTTGCTTAGATGGCAGCTACGCGCCTGTGAATTAATTTAAACTTAAAACCACCGAAGGAACTAACTCGAATGTTTTATTACAATATCACAGGGCTATACTGATACAGCAGTATGACGTTCTGATAAAAACTTTCTACAAGATGCATATAATGTTGTCATGACTTAATCCAATAGATAAGAAAAAGGAATGAGAACATATCAAACTTACACAGAACCAATGAATATGTTACATGGACAATTGTTGACATCAAAATCCCTCTGGGTCGTCTTGCCAATTACAGTCTAATATTATCCTGAACAACATACCTCTTGAAGTAAACAATTCCAGTACCCTTTACTCCCTTCTTCGTACTAAACACAATGTAACCCTACCGGTGTCCCATATACCATCTTCTAAACTTTCTGCAATGTTCCCTGTTATCCTTTTTTGAAACTGCGGTAACCTGTTGTTCCCTTTCTTAGAATTCGACCTTGTGCTGTCTCCTTTCCAAGCACTAGAACCCCTACCTGTTTGTAAGAATATTGTTCCTTAAAATCCTATTTTGAAGACTAGGTCCCCTGTTATATGTACCCCATTTCTATAAACTAAAGCCCCCGTTACCCTATTTCTAAGAACTAACACTCAGTTGCCCTTCAGTTGATAAGGTCTCCTTTGACACCCGTCTAGGGAATGTTTATTGTCAACTATTTTATTTTATGTCAATTTATTGTCTGTCTATCTGTTGTCGTCACAACTAATGGAAACATGACGAATTCTAACTAACCTCGGAATCGTCGAATACCATACACTACTCGAACTATTGGTCTGGACCCCAATGGTTCGAGTAAACGGGGTTTTACTGATTGGTATGCTGTTAATTTCAGGCCGGAATACCGGATAGAACAGCTGGTGGTGACTAGGCCGGCCAATGACACGAGGGTCAAACACGTGTTCCCGGCTCCGTATGTTGGATTCAGTTACTTCAGCAGTTTGTTTGACAAGGGTTTCATGCACTTGGTACTTATACTGAAGTATACAGTTTTTATAACATTTCTAATTGTGGAAGATAGGTTTCTTTTAACTTCATAAAGTTATACCCACGCAAGGATAATCCTGGAGGGGGCCATTGACTCCTATAAAGTTAAATTGACCCTTCTATGTTCCAATTTTCTTTAAATTTTCAAATAATGGCCTTCTTCATGTTTATATTGACTAAAAACTGCTGATATGGCCCACTGCTTTCAAATTCCAGGATTTTCCCTGCTCACATGTATGTCTAATCGTATAGTAAGGTCCCGATACTATATAACAGCCATACATAGCTATGTTGTGATACTTTTCCAGTGAGTGTAATTACTCAATATTGCTGATTGCTAGTTAGAAATATTTCTAGACATGAAAAACTCTAAAAAACTAAATTAAAATGTAAAATAATTAACGCACATATTCTGAATGATATGCTGATAAAAAATTCAACGTTTCTCGTATTTATATATATTCTACGTCAAGGATACGTTGTATATTCCAGTTTTATTGGTATCATTTTCTCTAAGTGACATATCACTAAGCAATGTTTCAAATATAGGTAAACGAAGTGTTATTTGGAATTGATTATCTAACTCTTAAGATGTACACAAGAATGCATACATTGGTAACGCGAAGGTTCTTCTAAGTTCCGACAAAATGATGATAAAGATTTGTACTGGGAGAGTACTAATACACAAGCTGGTGGCACATCAATCGGGAGCCGTCGGCACTTTCCGTAAACGATTGGTGGCATATACCAGGACATTTATCTCGAAGAGAAATATGACTGCAGTTTCAAAATAGATTTATTGTTTAATTACATTATAAATTGAAACTTATGCTTAAATGTCGGACAGTTGCTAGACTTACAGTCAAAGATACAGGGTATCACTGCTAACTACAACGGGAAGACGATCACCCTGGACGATATATGTTTCCATGGGAACACCAATGGGAGCTGTGTGATCGTCAGTATCCTGGAATACTGGCAGAACAACGAAACTCGAATTGATGAGGTTATATGGGATGAGTACAGATTCTACGTGGAGGCCGACTACCTGGATCACCTGATTGCATGTCATCAGTAAGCTTGTATATCTATATAGGATATAAATTAGGAGTTGCATGTGCATTGTTAAACAGAGTTTTATGACACGAGTCTAGAATTTTCAATTAGCAAGGATCAGCGAGCTTAAAGGGAACATTTGGGGCACATCCTATACAGCTTACATAGACTGGAAACACATGGAACGGTCTTTTCATAATACTAAGAATGTATATATTGTGTATGTCAGTTTGACAAACTTTGAAGGACAATGTACAAACACTTGTGCAACTATAAATATGAGAAAGAAAAAGTATAACTAGAATATTTTGTGTAATTTCAGTACACCCAACGCAACCAACGACCGCACTGTATTCAACAGCACCTGTCTGAGCACAAGCGGAATCCCAGTAGACCCTCGGCTTGTGATGAGAGACGGTAACAAATTCAAAATACATTTTATAAGAGATGACGAATATATTTATCCTTGTCTGTTACAAAGGGTTGGGACATTGGTGTCCTTTAACTATGTGGTATAGAATTTTTGTTCTACATATATAGTTCCACATACAGGGTATTTGTATACATGCATACTTGCGAACTTCCCAAATTTTGAGAGAGACTGTCGATTTTGGACCCTAAAATTGTGCATTTTCAAGCAGTGAATTCAAAACTAAAGATCTGATGACTTCATCTAAAAAAACAGTTCAAAAGAAGCCATTTAAAAGTGTTGTTTTTCCCTATGGTGTACATACACACATTGTATATTTGCTTTTATCTTATCTTCTATCTATGCTTAGCGCGCATAATCTCAATCATGGCAAGCATGTGTATGTAGAAACATTGTTACAATTTACGACGTTTTGAAGAAGTATAGTTTCATTTTCATCTATAAGCATATTAGAGGCACGGTAGTCTAGTGGTAGGACGCCAGGCTCGTGCCCGAAGGGTTGCGGGTTCGAGTCACGGCACGGCACTGTGTTGTATCTTTGAGCATGGTACATGTACCTTACTCCGCTTGTTCCAGTCTTCTCAGCTGTAAATGAGTACGTGGTTGGGCAGTGCTGGAATTGTTGAATGCTAGCTGTGAGCGCTGAAATGGCAGGACGGATGTATGCTCCCCAGTGAGTTGAGCAAGATGCTGGCTGGTTGCAAAGGCCCTATAACCACGGATAATAATGTTTGAACCGCTTTGAGAAGACCTACGAACTAGGTTGTGATAAAGCGGTATACAAGAACCTGAAATTATTATTATAATTACCACATACATTTCAATATAAGCTCATAGTTATTTGTTCTGAGCTAACTCTCTAAAAGGATTCTTACAATTGGTGTTTTAGTATAGGAGACTGCTTATATTTAGTTCGACTTTCTTTTGTTTAGCGTCCTAAAATACACCATATCACTCTGACATTGTTTTGGTATTTGAATGTATTTTCTGTTTGAATTTTTTAATGGAAAAAACCTTCAGCACTGTAGCACAGATGATCAAACTTATTTCGTTTGTTTGTTACTTATGGTTTAAATTCCTAGCAACATGCACGATGAAATTGAGTGCCTAAGGAGACACCCGAAAAGAAAGATTAATGAAGTGAGGAAATAAAAGAAATAGGCGGTTAGCGTTGTAATGAGGGCAGCAGATCAAATTAGTCTTTTTTATGTCCTCTAATCAAAGCACACGAACGATCTCCGATCGTGTGATAAAATGCAGGGGATATATATTGCCTGTTCTTTCCCCGAACCTGTAGGATTTTTAAATTGCTATTCGAGTACAACTTGGGAAAGATTTCACATTCATTAGATGCATTTTGCCTATCTTTTTCACTTTTCCTCGACATAACATTCTGGATGGGACATGGTACTGTCATAAGCGTGATATCACATAAATGAGTTACACCGCATGTGGTGTACCCGTGTAAACATCAAATGGTGTACCCGTGTAAACACCACATGGTGTACCCGTGTAAACACCACATGGTGTACCCTCGTAAACACAGCATGGTGTACCCGTGTAAACACAACATGGTGTACCCGTGTAGACACAACATGGTGTACCTGTGTAAACACCACATGGTGTACCCGTGTAAACACCACATGGTGTACCCGTGTAAACACAGCATGGTGTACCCGTGTAAACACCACATGGTGTACCCGTGTAAACACCACATGGTGTACCCGTGTAAACACAGCATGGTGTACCCGTGTAAACACAACATGGTGTACCCGTGTAAACACCACATGGTGTACCCGTGTAAACACAGCATGGTGTACCCGTGTAAACACAACATGGTGTACCCGTGTAAACACCACATGGTGTACCCGTGTAAACACAGCATGGTGTACCCGTGTAAACACAACATGGTGTACCCGTGTAAACAACATATGGTGTATCCGTGTAAACACAGCATGGTGTACCCGTGTAAACACAACATGGTGTACCCGTGTAGACACAACATGGTGTACCTGTGTAAACACCACATGGTGTACCCGTGTAAACACAGCATGGTGTTCCCGTGTTTACACCACATGGTGTTCCCATGTTTACACCACATGGTGTACCTATGTAAACACCACATGATGTGCCTGTGTAAACACCACATGGTGTACCTGTGTAAACACCACATGGTGCACCCGTGTAGACACCACATGGTGTACCCGTGTAAACACCACATGGTGTACCTGTGTAAACACCACATGGTGTACCTGTGTAAACACCACATGATGTGCCTGTGTAAACACCACATGGTGTACCTATGTAAACAGCACATGGTGTACCTATGTAAACAAATCGAAAAACTGATTGTGGTAAACATAATTCGAGCGGACAAAAAAACCCCAAAAAACCCAGCAGAGAGTTAAGAAAAATACTTGCAAATATTTCTAAAGGTAATACTTATGCCGTACTTATGTATATATATATATATATATATATATATATATCAATACAGCATCAATACTTATGATATCAGTCACCACATAATGGGTGGTCGGGTGGCACAGTGGATAACGCACTCGCCTTTCCAAAGATCGATTCCCTGAACGGACGTGACAAGTTATGTGGTCAACTGCCCGACCACGTTGATATTCCCCGGTTACTCCAGCTTCCTCCCAATTAAGACCCCGCGTACATGCGGTCGAAGATTAGACATTTTTATAAGTTGAAAAAAAGTTGGTTTCAGAAGTGCTTTAGCGCAATATAATGGCCTGGATTATCTCCCCTTCCTGTACTTCACAGGTCCCGGATACACGGAGTCCCGCACATTTGTGATCTCTTTCATTGTGAAGAATTCTAATAAAGAGGTGACGAGAGCTGCAGAGGCTTGGGAAAAGGCCTACACCAACTTCCTGACCAACTTCTCAAGTCCAAACATGACCATCAAGTTCTCAACGAAGGTTTGTCCTCCATCAAAATGTTTTAAAAACTACACAAATATAACCCACCATTTTGTTCCGGAAACAAAACCGCGATTAGTTGACTATGTGAGATAAATTGATGTACAATGTTCTGAGTTAATGCTGTCTGTCTGTTATCTAAATATGAATGTATTCGGTGATCGGTTGCAATATTTTGATGTCGCGATTCTTCCTAACTCTAGGGGAGGGTACGTTAGTGTTGATAATATTTCTGAATTACACAAATGTTTTACATTTTATAACCTTCTTTTGAGCTGAGTAAGTAGATGCAAAATAGATTTTAGAAATATATTTGTATCTGTCACAAAGCCATTTGAAATCAACATATGATAAGGTAATTTTACTTAGTGCAATATGTGGCCTTTGCCGTAAGCTTTGCGTAAAATAAATAAAAAAGTAAGTCAATTGAAATTGAATAAGAAATAACAAAAAGGTTAAGCGAACTAAATACAGACTAAAGATTTCCCCATACCTCAAAATGTTGTAATTAAGACTATTTCTCTTACATAATCATAGTACTCCAAATCACGCCGAAACTCGGGATTGATGTTTATATAATTGTTTGGAGATCTACCATTGAGATGGCATCAGTGTTCATAGGTTACGTTATCTTTACTTTTATTTTTCAGGTTTCATCCTCGGCCACCGTTCCTCACTCTAGCGTCATCACTTTGCTGACCTTTGCCCTCTCTACTCTGTTTATCCGCAAGTTCTGATCAAGGATCAACAGTTTCCGGACAAAGCACGGACCAGATAATGTTACAAATGTTTAATTTTGATAATTAAGATTTGTAGCATGTGATTTGTACCTCATTACGTATTTAAATGCCCTCTCCAAGAGGACCAAAACTAACATCATAGACTAAATGAAAGTCTTCACTGATACATCAGAAAAAAAATGCTAAGAGAACATACCCCTAAATCATGCCGACAGATGAGTTAATGTGTTGGTAAAGTCAGGGTAAAGACAGACAAAAAAATCTTTCCAGACGATAAGATTCATGTCGGGATTTATTATACATGTTTTCATTATTAATATTTAACGAGACCCTGTGGTTAGTTCAGTAAATAAATATACGTCGTTCATTAGTGATTGAATTAACGAAGTTAATATATTACACTAATAGTGGACTCCAATTAACGTGATATATCTAATAAACATTCCATCGATATCCTACAGTATTTGTTAAACATTTCGAAATGCAGTGACATCTTTGTCAAGCTTGTATTCCTCATGTGTAGCATTCCATGTTAACATTGGATTACTTTAAGTACATACGTGTGTATTTTTATGATCGTGATTGTATATATATCTTCATGACTTCTATTTTCTTAAGTTATCTCTGTCCCTTGACTCTGGGGCGACACTATACTTGACTCTGGGGCGACACTAAACTTGACTCTGGGGCGACACTATGATTGACTTTGGGGGACATTATACTTGAATCTGAGATGACACTGTACTTGACTTTGGGGCGATATTATACTTGAATCTGAGGCGAAACTTTACTTGAATCTGAGACCACACTGTACTTGACTCTGAGGCGACACTGTACTTGACTCTTGGGCAACACTATACTTGACTATGAGGCGACACTGTACTAGACTCAGGGGCGACACTATACTTGACTCAGGGGCGACACTGTACTTGACTCTGGGGCGACATTATACTTGACTCTGGGGCGACACTATGCTTGACTCTGGTGGGACACTGTACTTGACTCAGGGGTGACACTGTACTTTACTCAGGGGCGACACTATACTTGACTCCCGGGCCACACTTTACTTGACTCCGGGTTGTTTTCTTGACGTCGTTACCTCGAAACAATACATGCCTGACGTCATGCATGATTTTTATTGTATTTTTCTTGTAATTTTGTTTCCCATCGGATTTCATCAGGCATGACCAAGTTATTTGTTTTTATGATTTTTTTAATGGACTTTTTTTTCTTTTGATAAAAATATTATTATTGATTATTCAATTCCTACCCCAACCCCTGGGGCCAGGGCGGGGCCCCAAATGGAAAATTAACAAATATTTCAAAAATCTTCTTCTCTTGACTCTGAGGTACTACAGTCATTTTCTCTACATGGAAAGAAAAATCATCAACGGCTTTATTTAAATTGTAAATTTCAGGACCCCCGAGCGATCCGTTCACCATTGGGGAGGGGGTAAAGTTTACTATAGTTTATATAGGAAAATAACACTTTTGTGTATATTTTGACAACTTTCTGTAGGAAATTATTTTTACTTGGTGAGAATTATCCTTGGAGGAAGAAGATTTCAAATTGTAAAATTGAGATTCCTACCCCAACCCCTGGGGCCAGGGCGGGGCCCCAAATGGAAAATTAACCAATATTTCAAAAATCTTCTTCTCCAGACTCAGAGGTACTACAGTCATTTTCTCTGCATGGAAAGAAAGATCATCAACGGCTGTATTTAAATTGTAAATTTTAGGACCCCTGAGCTATCCGTTCTCTCTTGGGTAGGGGGTAAATTTTTCATAGTTTATATAGGGAAATAACACTTTTGGGTATACTTTATCCATTTTCAGCAGAGCACTACTCAAACTTGGTCAGAATCATCTTTGGTGAATGAAGGTATTACATTGTAAAATTGGGATTCCTGCCCTATCCCCAGGGGCTAGGGCGGGGCCCCAAAGGGAGCATTTACCAATATTATCAAATTCTTATCCTTTGATGACATTACAAGTATTGTATTTCACTTAGATTACATGCTGATTTCCACATCACATCTAAGCAATAAAATAAAGCTACCAGTACCTATGATATAACTCAGGTGATCGCTAAGGCCCTTGGGCCTATTGTTTTACAGTGTTACATGATTTAAGCGAATTACAAGAAAGTTGACTTGAGCACAAAATTCATGCTTGAGCATGAGAACGGTTTCATGAATACGGGCCCAGGTCTATCGATCCTAAAACACTAGGATGTCGGGAGCATTGTTGCAGACACTGTTAATAGGCTAGGACAATGTAATCAATGGGGTGTTTATTTTGTAATTTACAGTAACTGTTCCTTTTTTTATTCACGAATCAATCTAATGCGAAAGCTTACAATATCAAAATATCAACTTTATGTTCACCATTAAGATAATGTCGCAATGGTAACCATGTATAGTACCATATATACACATTCACGTGTTAAGTTCACGATGTAATTTTATACATCTAACATAAGGTTTTTCTGCACGTTTTTTCTTGTTGAAATGATGACGTAAGGGTTGTTTAAAGTTTAACCTTGAAAATTAATAACAGATAACTTTTGACTTGACGGCGGGATATTCTGGAGTGTCCAAAGTAAACCCGATGTGTTCCGTACAGTGTCTAGAACCTAACTGATTTACAATACAACATATCACAGTTAAATACATGTACGTACAATAAAGGTACCTGAGGTTTAAGTGACAGGTGTCGCTAATTGTTAGATCAATTACCCGTGGTCAGTGTCCAATAGCTAAGGGCTATTACACTAATCCTGTTGTGTAATGTTGCGTAATGTGATGGACAAAAGGGGGTGTTCTCGTTTCCCCCCCTTTTTATATAACAAAGGAAAATGTTGATTTAGGAAGACAATGGCAAACCAATTATAGTCTGTTTCATACTTACCCCACAGGTAACTTACCTGTGTGAAAGTTACCTGTGCGACTTGAAGCTATGTTGGGTGAAAATAAGGTTTTAATACTTTTTTGGGGTTCAAATACCTTTATATTATATAATCGATATTTTTATACTTATACATATGTAGAGTTTACAGTCAAATATTTACATTACACTTTTAAACAGATAATATAGAATATAACAGCACTACATAAGTGTTCACAATCTATTACAATTTTAAAATACATTACCAATATTCACATATTAAGAATAGTAAAGTTTAGTACAGTAATAGCAATCTCAAATTGGCCCCCCTCAAATGTATATCATATCTCCAATTTAAAATTCAAGTCCAACAGCCAAGAGGCAGACATTTTTGTTGTTATCTATCCCAAATGTAAGAGATGTTATCTTTATTTGATACTTATATATCATGTATTGTGAATTACGGGTGTGAAGTATGGGGTTATAGTCCTGCACCGCAGATTGAAAATATACATTTATTATTTTTTTTAAACCGTATTGGGTGTCAGGAAAACAGTAAATAATGCCATGGTGTATTTTGAACTTGGTCGTTACCCTTTGCATATACAGCGTAGGATTGCCATTGTAAAGTACTAGCTGCAAATATTAAAGACTAATAACTGTATTTTGAGGGCCTGTTACGATGAACTTTTAGA